CCTCTCCCGAGATGCCTGCCTCCGTTTCTCTGACTCAAACTCATCCTGGTGCTCTCTTTCGCTACTTCGCCAAATCACCCTCCCTCTGCTCGCATTCTCCATCACTCTGCTGGGCTTCTGTTTGTTTGGTAAAGACGGTTGAGTCTTTGACGTCTGCAGATGCCTGTGATTTCTCCCAGGTTCCCGAGGGGCCCAAGGAGAGAGTGCTTTGTGCTCTGACAACACGGGTCTGCAAAGAGGGAGCTGGGACTGTTTTTCTGCTCCAACGCTTCTTGGCAGGGTGTTTAACCAGTATCGCTGCACTGTGCCGCTTCCAGGTGAAAGATTTGGGCTTGGAGGAAGAGACTAGACTAGACAAACAGAATAAACAGCGAAACAGAAGTGCATTCACTTAGGTTAAAGGGGATGTTTTTTAGTGTGCATCTTAATTAAAAAGTGTATTTTACAGCTTTAGTCAACTCATTGCATGCACCATATATGGTTATTTACTGTATTTGTTTTATTACTTTTGCAAATGTTTTTACTAATTATGTATTTTATTTTAAAATGATTATTTCTAATTTTAAGCTTTTATATTACAAAATATTAGTAATTATTGTGTTAGCTTATAAAAAATTAACACAATTTCATTGCATAATTGTATTTTTATTTAAGCACAATTTATGCATTTATTATATCTCTTTAATTTACAACTTTAATTATACACTTCTGTTTGCATCTCTATACATTCAATATAATACATTTAAATGAATACAACCTAATGTACCTGTACAATGACAAAGAGCATGACTCGACTTAAAGTTTGACATCTATCAATAAGTTGATAAATGTACACAACATTTCAGTGAAAGGGGCTTTTGGAAGAATTCCTGAAACATCTCATTCTCTTTCAATAATTCCCTCAATTTCTGCTGGGCATCATAGTGACCCGCTCCATTAAAAAAAAAAATGAGGATAGCAGAGCAAGACATTAAAACTTGATAAATGACTTTTTAGGAGGTTCTGCCATGATAACACTTTACTGCTTGCTTTGCCATTTTCAGAGCCTTCCTCATTAAAGTCATTTGGCTTCAAGGCCAAACGCTCCATTCATTTAAAATCAAATGAGGGAACTTCATGATGAACTAATTCATTCATCAGATTCTTATGAACAATGGCTATCTGAGATAGAATAAAGGAGGCAGATTTCTATGGCACTGCCACCCATATCATAAAGGGCGCATTGCATCGCTTGCTAGCACAAAACTTGCATCTCGCTTGAAGAATAAGAAAAAGAGGAGTGAAGAAATGAGAAGAATATTTGGGATATCTCTGTGGACAAAGAGGTTAGGACATGGAGGGAATGTCATTCAGTGAAACTTAAAAATTTTAAAGTCACGATTTTAATTTGGTCTAAAAAACTGAATGCTGAAACCATCCAGTCACAAAGTCTATTCATTGTATCCGGATGCTGATTCTGAGTAAAGTGACTATAGAGACTAAAAGTGAATAAAAACATTTAAGCACTAGTAAATTTCCCACATTGAATGATGACAGGAGTTCAAACAGACGCCCTGGGGACAGTATACGTTTTTTTGTTTTGTTTCTTTTTTTTTCTCTGTAGGGCGACTCAGAAAACACCAAAGTATGTTTAAATGTTTAGAATTGCTACTGGAAGATGAGCAGGTGTGTGGAGCCTCACTCCATAAGGCTGAAGGCCATGTAGAAATAAAATACACCTACACATTAACACTGACACAGGCATGTACACACACTCACTTTTATGCCAGCAACCACATACAATCCTTATTAGACAGTGGCTTACAGCTTTTATACCACTGAAGGTCTCTGTGTGACATATTTTATACGTACAACAAGTGAAACATTAGAATTGTTCTAGAATGATTGTTTGAAAACCAAAAATTCAACCTATAACATGGATTAAATTAACTGCTACTGTTCTGACATGCCAAAGAGCCAGCTAAACCAATTAATACTGTAGTTACATTTTTAAATAGTCACATTTATGAGAAAATAAGTAACAATTGTGAGATAGTCACATTGTGAGGCATGAAATCGCAATTGTGAGATATAGTTGCAAATTATAAGAAACAAAATCGTGATTATGACAAATTCACAAATCCTCAAACAAGACTATATAGAGACTCTCAAATGGCAGTTTAAAACTAGACAAAAGCTTTTCTTTTCTTCTGACCTGCAAACTGTGACATAATTATCCAAGAGTTATAGTTACGCTGTCACAGCTTAGTATACATATGAATTATGAAAACCGTGATGTAAAATGCTTTGGATGTTACTTTTACAAGGAGCAACTGCTGCCACCAAAGACCAAAAGTATGGGTCAGTGTGGCAGAAGAGAAAGAGTGGGAAAGGAAAATAAAGAGGGACAGAAAGGAAGAAGAGAGAAAGAGTGTGGCATTGAAGCCACGGCGGCCGTATGTTTGACATTGGAAATGGTTTAGAGCAGAAGGAACTGGCAATTCTGTCTCTAATTAAAGGCTTTGGCTCACATGACCATGTACAGGTGCACCAACACCAGAATGCAGAGCCATGAAGAAAGGCCTCCTTGTGTGTGGTGAGGCCATGCTCGCTCAGCGGGAGTCTACACACACACACACACACACAGAGGATGCAGCTAAGGAGTGCAAACATTCACATTCATTACCTTCACTACAATTTCAAGCCCTTATTTCAACTGTCAGAAATAAAATTATGCAAAGTAGTTATTATTTTACAAGTTCTTTCCCTCTCACTTTCTGTTCTGCTTCTCTTGTGCCCTCTTCTCTCAAAATGACTCAATTCATTGCTGATTTTTTTAAACTTATGGCCATTTGTGAGCAACTATAATGGTCAGACAGACTAAGACAGCTATTTTTATATTCATTTTAAACTCCAGAAATCACAAGATCTCAGATCATAGGATGTACAAAAAAAGTAAACCAACTGAACATCTTTCATGTTCTGAGGGACAGAATGTATATTTCCCATTTTCATATATACGAGTAAATACTATAGAGTTAAACTGTTAATTTAAGGCCTTAGTCTTTTTTTATTATTAAGATTTATAACATTTAATATATATATATATATATATATATATATATATATATATATATATATATATATATATACACAGTATAAATTATAAAAAATAATATTTAATTTGAATTACACATTTTGTGTGGGGTTATTTAATAAAGACCAAAAAGAGAGGATATTAGTGTCAGAACAGAAGTCTTTGCATTTACACACCAAATCAATCCAGAGATTTAAATAATATGGTTTACCAGATCCCACTTTCTTTTAGTAACAGTTCATCAATATTACATTAAGACATACTAGGATCTGTTAACAGGCGTGCAGTGCAGCCTGTGTCATTGATAACAAGGTTGAGGGGTCCTGTTACCCTCTGTGTCTGTAATGCATTTAGGGAAGAGTGTGAACAGAAAAAGAGAGTTTCAGCCAAGAGAGTCCGGGAAGTGAGGAAATTCCAACTGACAAACTGGATATGGAAGACACTGACGCATAGGCCAAAGAGCAAAAACAGCACAAGCCTCTACACGCTGACGTGTCACTGCATAAAACAGTCGCTTAGAGGTTTATTGTGACTCAGGCTAGCTAGGCTGACACTGCTGCTAAGACTGGACCTCAAGTGTGAGGAATTCAGTCAAGTCGGCATCATCTACAGGAACGAATGAAATCTCCAAGTGCAGTTCTGGATGACTGCATGGAAATATGAAGCCTGAGGACCCGATTTGGTTAAAAGATTAGTTCACCCAAAAATGAAATCACTGACTCATTCTCATGTCTCTCTAAACCTGTGCAACTTACTTTCTTACTATAAACACAAAAGGAGACATTTTAAAGACTCCGTTGGTCGCTCTTTTGCATGCAATGACAAAACTTTGGATTGAAACTTCCAAGTATAACAGGACACAAAAACAATAAAATGATCATAATGTGCCCCAATTAAACTAAGAGCAGCTGTGGAAAAACAGGCTGCTTGATATTGCAAACTGGTATTTGTTATATTATTTCTATTATCGTAATCATGCTCGTTTTTAGTGCTAATAGTTTGACTATTTACTGCAATTTGTTATCATTCTAGTAATTTACCAATAGCAGCTTTTGAATTGGAAGTACACATTGCAAAAATAAGATAGATATTTCAAATCTTCAGAAGTCATACAATAGTTTTGCGTGAGACATGGGCTGCTACAAATGGATCATTGGTTCAGGATTTGGAACAACGTGATCCATGAACAAATCATTTTGTGAACTTGATTAACTGAAAAGTGAATCTGATAGCTAGACAAAAATTTGCTTGGCAATTATGTTGTCATTTTTTTGTGCGTGCTTTCTTTTAAAAAATACATTAAGCATGAAATTCCTATATAGTACACAATGCCTTGAATATACACATTCTATGATGTTTTTAATGTCTGAATTAATATAATTATTAATAAATGTATTTTAATCATAATGAAGAAAAAAACTACATGAACAGGATGAGATTCCTGAATAGAAAATTAAATATTGAAATACTAAATAGTTTGGCAAGGCAAGGCAAATGTAAAATAGCATATGGTGCAACCTTCTAAAATGATATTTGTTAAAATAATAACTTGTGATGTTTGCAATAAACAAAAAAAAAAAAAAAAAATCACCTTTTGTGTTCCACAGAAGAACTATACAGGTTTGACGATGAGAATGAGTAATTGTCAGCATTTCCGTACTGAGGTGAATTATCTCTTAATATTTTTATAGTTCCCATCAAATGACTAAAAAGTGACAAGCTGTAATACTATACACCACACAATCAACTCTTTGAGGTTTTAAAAACAATGTAATTCAATTTGCTTCATATATCTGCTTGTTTGTACATTGCGCAAGACATGGGAATTGCACAAGAAACAACTAACAGCTCAACACGCTTCCTGAAAGTCAGGGTAGAAAACTTAGGGTCTTTTGCACACGAACACACACACACACACACACACCTGCTGCTGTTGAAGGTGCAGTAAATCCACAGGGCTGATCTCCCCATTGGTGTCACAGTTGGACCCGCCTTCTCTTCCTCCGCCATCTGACTGGCTGCTTAGGCTGCTGACTCCATTTTGACTGGAGGGTGTAGTTCGAATGGTCTCAGTTGCTGATTCTACCATCATCACGTGGCACCTTGCAGAAAAAAAGAAAGAAAAGAAAAACATATTGAGTGACCATCAGGCATTGTTAGAAGTCCTAGGAAGCATGCTAAGATCTATATAGGCAGTTTTATCACAAAAGCAAATATACACACACTAATCAATTGCACAGATTCACAATCAACCCCATCAGAAAGTGTTTATCTGCAGTAGAAATACAGTGCCACAGCTGCTAACCTTCATAAGAACATAATAAACAAGCAGTGCGCCATACATCTATTAGGATATACCTAAAGAACCACCTGAGCCTCTGAACAGCCAATGGCAGCCAAGGACACAAACGCAGAGGAAGGAGCAACGAAGGTCTGCCTGAAGAGATACTTGTGTCAAACTAAAATGGCATTGTGCCATGAAATAGTGGCATGCTTTTCCCTTTTCCCAAAGGTTACAACACAGTGCACCAGCTCTGATCGAAGGACATTTGTCTTTGACAGAGAGTGTTGATGCATCCACAACAGTGACAAAGAGGCGCTTTCAATTAGAAAACATCTGCTCTAAAGAAACACCAACCTTTCGAGCAACTTATTATCAGCAGTACAAAAACACAAGCAACTTCCAAAAGAAGAGGAATGCATTTAGTATCTTTAAGAGGTAAAGTGAGTGAAAGACGAAATAAGGCTTCAAATGAGTGAATGATTCAGTGAACTGATGACTTATTGACGTGTATAGTCGTATTAGAAAAATCACTGCACTTTAAAAAGATGTCAATTTTGTTGTAATGTTTTTTTCCTGATAAATTAATTTATTTAAAAATACATAAAAATTGTAATTCACACATAAAATTACTTGAATATACCTCTTCTATGATGTCTTAATGTCTAAATTAATTTAATTATTAATAAATTAATAAGAAAAAGCCAGTAAAATGAGATTCCTAATTTCATATATATATATATATATATATATATATATAGAACGGGTATTGTTCAAAATTCATGTATAAATTTGATGAAAGGTTTTGATCCACTTCAAATGCTGACTACTGTAGGCTATATTCCAAAACCATATGAAACATGGACCACACAGTACATTCGACTTGTTTTTACTAAATTTGCTTGCTTTATTTAACCTTGGCCATTTGACCTGCTTACAAAAGCAATAAGATAAAAACATAAAAATCATCAACATGGAGCATTGTGATTGCATTGTGGGAATGGTACTATCTACACATGCAGTACGTGCTGTACAGTAAAGCTCGCCACAACAACAGCTGAAGACCACTAAGACAGAGATATAGAAGACTCTTTACTGGCTTCGACACCCAGATCTACTGTACATTGGGACGTTTTGGAAACTCGAGGGTGCTTTTATGGGTCCAACAAGTTCACAGTTGGAATCACTTAAATGCACCTGGTTGAGGAATTGTATACTTCATTCAAAGCTGTCAACTGAGGCAGTCACGCAAAACTCGCATGACTGAAGAGGATGCAGGCATGTCTTGTATCATGGGGGACGCAAACCAAAGACGTGGGTAGTTTTATTGTCTATGGAGCCAAGAGGAACCACGTGTGGTTAATACATCAACCCAGACCATCTATATCACTCGAATGTGACATGTAGGGGACAATACCAAAACCCCAACAATAGCTTTCAAAACCCACGTCGTCAACTTTTCATCATGACTAACCCCTATTTCATAATTTCATGCAAGAAAGTAACCCACCGTTCGAGAAATGCAAGACTTGTTGCATCGGAGAGCTTGAAGGAACGAGCAGCTGCTGAGCGAGTGCATCACTGCCATATTAACCAGACCGAGGTGTAAGCAAGCATGAAGCCTTGTCATATCCCGTAATGGGTGTATATTGCCACTATAATGGAAGGTCGTAAATAAAGCAGCCCAATAAATCTGCACAGGGAACCTTTGATTACGGCTGTGAGACAGAAGTTTGCAGCGTCTTGTAATTGTTTTTGGCAGGCTCATCTGAGCCGCCAATGTTGAGGCTTGCCGCATCATGTTTAGCCCCCGAAGCCCCTCTGGCTGAACTTTGACCTGTGAGAACAGAGGAAGATGCATTTTTCTTCTACGGGGGAGTGAGGGATGCAGAAAGGGTAGGCGTTCTTCTTCAGATCGAAGAGATAAAATGTGCATTTGGGGGAGGGCAATGCACAAAAAAAGGAACGTTTGCCTTTTAATTGGGACGGAAGAGAAATGGGACCAAACTTGCCTTTGCCTCAGGGACAAAAACACACCGAAAAAATAAATTTCAGCTCGCAACAGATAAAACAAAAATCCCAGGACCAGCGTCTTCGCGGCATGGTAACGCAATGCACTGGCTATGCACTGAGGTTTTCTCTTTTTTATGTTCTAATATCAGCAGATTTTCTTTGGCACTTACAAGAAAGGGTGGAGGGGGTGGTGATTCATTCTCTATCCTGTTTCTGCAAGTACTGAGACTGCAACAAGGGATCATGGGAACTTCTGTGACTAGCTGTTAAGAGCTGTTTATATTGCTGATGCTGAGAGTTGCTAAGGTAAGATAGCAACGCGGGGATAAACACGTCCCTGAATTCCGATTCGGCTTCAGAAGTGCATATAAGCAGTAAAAAGTGAAAGCTGCAGATTTTTTCCCCTCATTCGTATTAAAAAGGAAGTAACGCAAAAACAAACAAGGTCAGGAAACGGAGAGATGGCGAAACAAACCACAGTTTGTGGTTCCCATCCTCCCCGAAGCAAAGATTCTCCTTTCCCTTCTCTCTCTCTCTTCTCCGTCTACCCCCGAGGCAGCTGCAGTTCCGTTCCTGTGCTCAGGGTCGGAGTCGGCGGCTGGCACGGGAACAGAGGATTCTGAGAGAGCAGGGTTGAAAAGACGCCGTCTGAGCCAGGTAGGCCAAGGGGCGGAGGTCTCCTGGGTAAATCTCATACAGGTGGGCCGTCACTTCACACCCTCTCAAAACATAGCAAGCCCAGCGGGGACTAAAAGCTTCCAGTACTCCGACAGGGTCAGAGGTGAAAGGTAGATTGTCTTTTCCCAGCTCGTTTTTTTTATTGTTTAGGGAACACAGTTTGCTAAAGACGTCAACGGTATTAACATAGACAAAGCATCAGGTGCCTAAATGAACTTGACAGCCGTTTATACTTTCCAGGCAACAAAAGCAGATGAGTCAATGACATAAGAGTGTAACACTTTACAATAAGGTTTCATTAGTTAACACATGAACTAACGTTATGCACTTCTACAGCATTTATTAATCTATGTTAATGTCAATTTCCACATTTACTAATGCGTTATTCAAATCAAAAGTTGTATTTATTAACATTTTATTAACTAACGTTAACAAAGATTAACAAATACAGTAACAAATGTCTTGCTCAGTTAGTCTATATTAGTTAATACATTAACTAATGTTAACAAATGAAACCTTACTGTAAAGTGTTACCGAGTGTCCATGAAAAAGAAAGGGAAAAATCTAGTTTAAAACCCATACAGTTCTTTAAAAAAAAGTACTCTTTATATTCGTTTAAATTTAATGGTGTAAAAAGAAAAATATTTCCTTACACCTTGAATACATACAGATCTTAATCATTAAATCAAAAACACTAAATATATATATATATTTATTACGTTTTGGGGACCCACACCACATGATATTTTACGAAAGGTCTAAATTTTCATTCATAAATTAAAAATGTGTATTGCATAAAATTGTGATGTATTTTTGTAGATCTTAATCATAATTTCCCAAAAAGTTTAAATATATTTTTTCAAGTTAACAAATATCAATCATTATGAATTCATGAAATATCATTACGTTTTTTGAGGAGCTGCACCAAGACATTTTACAATCTCATTATAAAAAAGCGAAATTAATTTTAAATCATAAATTAAAAACGTGTATATTGAATAACACTTTTTTTTATAAAGCTAAAAAAAAGTAGTAAACATAGTAAAACATATTTTTAAGTCAATCTGTAAACATTCAAATGATGACAGGCTCAGTGCATGAAGCACAGATTCGCTGGAGTGGATCTCAATGTACCTCTGAACCTGAATACCTGCTTTTACAGTCTTTCATGGCCCGGTTGGCGTGCCGAGAGCTTTGAAGAGGATTGAGGCTGTCAGATCCAGCCGGCTGATCCCAGATCAGCACATCTGCAGCCCCCAGACTGCGGATTGGGCTCATCGTTCCGGTCCGACTCCAAAACACAAGCCCCACTAATGCCTTCTGAATTCAGTACTTCCAGCCTGGATCATTTCACCAGAATGAAGATGGTAAACGGGCCAGCACCATGTTCAGATGGTCCGTTACAGCGCCAGGAATCGGTCTTTATTATTTCAGATGAAAATGAGTGTATTTCAAATCCTTCATATAAAAGCTTATTACTGGCCTCTAAAACATTGAAAGCTCTATAACGGATAATTGACTGTGATACCTGAAATTTCATTTTACACATTTAGCCTTTTTCCCTCTTGTTTAGTTCTCAGTAAAAGAAAATATGGCAAACATTAAACCGGGGTAAAGATTTTCCTTTGCAGTGAAAAGGACTGTTCAAGAAGCAATATCTAAAATAATGCAAGGATTCAAGCCGTAACTCACTTGGCAATGCCGACAGACTGGTTTAAATTTGCAACTTCAGCTCTCCGGCACACACCAGAGCTCCATTTAACTACAAAGAGCATTACCCAGATCTAAAAAGAAAATAAAACGGACGTAATACAAGATGACAACTTTGACAATATTTATAAAAATGGAATACCGCTTTATTCTGCCAGTCCTTTCCCACTTTTTTATCACCGACTCATTCATTTACTCCATCTTTCCTGTCCTCTTCTTTATAGGAACTCTTCAAGGCACATGCGGAACCGTTTCACATTTTTCAGCAGGGCTGTTAGCTTTATTTGTCTTCCTTTGCACCTGTGGAAGAGCTCTTTCTGCACGTTACGCACACGCCAGCACACACAGACACCAGTCTCAGTAGTTTTTCAGCAGGTTACCAGATTAATAACTCTTTATCATGTTAAGCCTTATACAGGT